ACACACACACACACACACACACACACACACACACACACACACACGCACTCACGCATGCATACGCACATGCGAGTGTGTGTGTTAATAAGGGCATGAGTGCTGACTAATCTAAAAATTAAAAATGGATAAGGCTAAAGCACACCCTCTTTCAGAAGACCAGAGTTAAAGTCTTAGAACTCTCATCAGGCAGCTCACATCTCACTGTGACTCCAGAGCCCCGGGATCAGCTGTCTTCTGATGGACTCCCCAAGCACATGCACATATGTTCTCATACACACATACACATAAATCTTTTAAAAACAATAAGCCTTTCAGGAAAGTGAATTGGAAAGGCAAGATTCAGCCGATAAAGGACCATTCTTTTTTGTAGGTTAAATATTCAAGATATGCAGCATGGGCATGGCCAGCTAAAATGATTGTTCAATTTATACAAGTGACACAAATAGCTAAGTGCTAGTCCTGTCAATCTCTCAGGATGTCATAGAGTTTAAAAAAAAAGAGATATGAAACTATGTTTGTTTTAATCAGTTTTTTACCACTATAAGGATGTGTCACTTTGATGACTGTTTTATAAAGGGAAATGATTCGTGGTTTTGGAGGGCCCAGTCCATGATTGAGGGGCTGTATTTCTTTGTTTCTAGGGCTGACCAGTATTGGAAAATCAATCAGGAATGATTCACCCTCTCTCAGCTGATGTTAACTGCTTATAACTCTTCCATCTAAAAGTGGCGCCCATCCACACCAACATGTCAACTGGTGATGTCATTGTTCTGGTCTTGTTTAGGCAGCCATGCTGTTGAGATTTTATGGGTGTAGCTTCCTTGCCATAGCTATCAGGTCCAATCTCAAGCAAACTTCCTGATTGTCTGGCCTCTACATTCTTCTACATTTTCCACAATATTCTCTGTGCCTTAGGCACGGGAGTGTTGTTGTAGACGTACCCACTGAGGTTGGGCACCACACATTCCCACTGGCCACATTTTAAGGTTCTTTTAATAGATGAACTATCATTGTGCCTTTTTATTTCTCTTTACTTCACTTAATGCCAAAATATTGCTAATCAATACTTTAACAATATTTAGTATAGCATTTGGTGGCTAGTATATATTTTAGGTCTCCTTTGGACCAGTAGTATTTTAAGTGTCTGATGGCTTTCACACTTGACATTGCAGCTTACTCAGAAGGCCTGAAAATTACTCAATGGAAGTTGCTCATGAAATTTCTCTCAATTTCTACATCTCTTCATTGATAGAGAAATAAACATCCACCTTATAGGCCTCTTTCCTTGAGTTATCCACTATGAATCTATTTCCCCTCTTATGTGAGTTTGATTCCATTCATTCTCCCTTGGAAGCAGTTTCTGACCTTGATCTGCCCTCCAACTTCATACTCTGCCACCTCTTTTCCTCTTGGTAGTCACAGAGCACCTGTACACACAGCTAGTAACTATAAAGTGAGATTGTAAGTGACCACTTTTTAACCAACTGAAGCTAGACCAAACTTAGACAGTTCTCTACAAACTGACAGCAAAACCCTATTGCTGAAGAAAACACCTACTCAACTCATTGAAAATGGTCAAGCTGGTACTTGCCTAAACCCTTCACCCGTACTGGCTAGTGTCCGTGGTGCCAGAAGGTACTCTGCCCATTACCACGAAGAAAGATAAATACCAACCTAGCTACAAACTCTTCTATCTACAATGTTGTCCTTCCTCCAAGATATGCTAGGGCAATGGCAGCACAGAGCTTGTCAGAGTAACCAACTGAAATCTGATTTGACTTAAGTCCCATTCCATGAAATGGAACCCAAACATGACACTGCTTGCATGACCAAAAAGCATGAGACTAGATAGTCCATGGACCTAGGGTAAATCAAATAACTAAACTAAAGGACTGTAGCAATAAGATGACTCCTAGTGACATTCTGCCATACTCAGAGACCAGTAGCTTGCTTAGCCATCATCAAGGAAGCTTCCTCTGCAACAGACATGAACAAATACAGAGACCCATAGCCAGACAATAAGCAGAGAATTAAAGACCCTGGAACACTCAGCCATAACAGGGGATTTATCTATCAAATCCCTAGCCCCAGGGCTCAGAGAGCCATGCAGAAGAGGAGGCAAAAAGTGTGCAAGAGCCCGAAGGGGTGGAGGACAAGGAAGCAAGGCCTTCCAAACACAACAGGACCACTGCACACAAGAACTCACAGAGACTAAGGCAGCATGCACAGGGCCAGCACAGATCTGCACCAGCTAGGAACCTGGAGCTGAAAGGAGACGTGGACACAAGCTCCATCCCTAACCCAGACACTACCGCCAATTTATAGCCACTTGTAAATTAAAATATAGTTTTCTCTCAGGGGCTCTCATTGGGAAAACAGACTACTCTTAAATGTAGGCCCCATGTCCAGCAGTCGATGGCCAACAGAAAACAAGTTCAACAGCATCTTTGTAGATTCCTTGACTCATAATGTTGTGGCAGAGCTTTTTCTTTTTTCTTTTTTCTTTTAGGATTTTAACTTTTTTATTTTTACTCTTTTTTTTAATTGTATATCTCTCTTCTTTTTTGTTATCCTACAGGTCCTTTGTGTATATGTTATGACTTCCAGTGTTGTGCTGTTATGGGGTCCTAAAAATGTGAAAACATGACTTTCTGTGTCTATGTTTGTTTTGCTTTGGCTCTTTTCCTTCTGTTTTTGTTTGTTTGTTTTCTCCGATTCCAATGTTTGTCTTTGTTTTATCTAATCATATTTTATTATTATCCCTTCAAAGCCTATTGGTTTTCTAATAAGAGACAGAAAGGATGTAGACCCAGATGAAAGAGGAGGTGCTGGGGACAAACTGGGAGGAGTAGAGGAAGGGGAAACCATAATCAGGAAGTAAAAGAAAAAATCTATTTTCAATAAAAGAAAAATATATAATAAAAAAAAAGACCAGGCGGTAGTGGTACACCCCTTTAATCCCAGCACTTGGGAGGCAGAGGCAGGCGGATCTCTGTAAGTTCAAGGCCAGCCTGGGCTACCAAGTGAGTTCCAGGAAAGGCGCAAAGCTACACAGAGAAACTCTGTCTCAAAAAACAAAAAAACAAAAAAATAAGTAAATGAATGAATGAATGGATCCCATTGTCATGTCTAATTCCTTCCAAGAGAACTCATTGATATGGCGTTTGATAGTTAGCATATATTTCACACTTCATTTCATACTTGCCACATTTCACATATTCCACAGCCATGTCCAACAGTTGATTCTGGTGTCTTCACCTGGTCCTAAAATGCAAGGAACTTCTTTATATACTTAGCACTTGTTGCTAAATTTTCTTGTCTTTCTTTGCTACTGTGATTTTTTTTTTTTTGGTATTAGCTCCAAGAACACTACTTCAAAATACCTCCCTGAACTGCCTGACTGATCCATCCCTACTCTTTCCCACTGTCTGCAGCCCCTCAACTGGAGTCATATATCAGTATGTATCATCACTGTTGCTGTCTTCTCTATTGTGATGCAGATGAACTGAGAGAACAGAATTCCTCTGTAATAGTCTTGCTGTATCCAGGATGTGGTCTATTCAAAAACACTTGCTGTTTAAGAGAATCAAATCACTAGGCTGAATTCAGCAAAGATATTTGCATTTCTATCTGATGTAGAATGTATAATATATTTTTCTTCTAGCTTATCCCTTTCTGGGGTTTTAATCCTCCTGCTTAACATCCAAGTCTCACTTTAATTCTTCAATAACTCTGAAAACAATCCCTCTCATTTCATTCCTCCATCCAGGTCTCAGGCTATCTCTGTTCCCCCTTGGGACATTTGCTATAACCTCATAAGTGGGTATCATCCTCCTCTCATCCTCTCCTTCCCCATTTCAGGCATAGTACCATTTCCAAAGCTCAGTGCAGAAATACCCCATGGCTTGTGCTTAGATGAATGAAGTCCTGAGATGTCCATGGAAAGCATGTAGAGAAGACATTATTGATGCAAAATAAGAAGGTCCACACATATCAGATAAGTGCTCCATAAACTTCAGCCAATGCAGAGTTAAGCCAGGTTTCAAGAAAAACCAAGGCAGGAATATACAAGTACACAAAGATTTGTTAGAATCCAATGCTCATTTTATTGAAAATAAATTATGTTCCCAGCTGTAGATGTTACAGCCATTAACACATTCAGACAACGGAACCAGAGGGCAAGAGAGCAAAGACTGACATTTGAGAACCAGTGAGATGATACTGTAGATGCCACCATCACAAAGATTTCTTCTAAATATGTGCAGGTGGAGGTCAAAGATTTTGTCAAGTTTGTAGTTTCTTGGACATAGAGATCCTGGCCATGGGTCTTAAAAGAAGCATGATCTTCAGAAGTGTCATTTCAGAAGCAACTGGTCCTCTCCTAGGGATGTTTTAGCAGCAAGAATAGCATCTTCTGTAGCAAGATGGTCTAGAGCCACAACAGCCGGACCTGTAGTAGGAGCCATATCCACAGCCACTTCCATAGCCACAGCCATATCCACAGCCATAGCCAGAGCCATATCCACAGCCATAGCCAGAGCCATAGCCAGAGCCATATCCACAGCCATAGCCAGAGCCATATCCA